ATAGGAGACTTCCTGGGGAAAGTGCCTTCTGCTCCCAGCAAACACATTGAACACACAACCTGCAGCTGGTGAAGTGAGGGAGAGGAGAAGGGGTAGTGATGATATGAGGCACCAAGCTGAGTTCTCACAAAAGGTTCAGCCACACAGCATCTGATCATTAATGTCCATCAAATATTCTGGCTTGTGTCCAGCTTGCTAAGCAGAATGGTGTCACGGCAATAAGATAAAGGCCCCTGTGCCAAAAGGTTCCCTGCCTCCAGCCTCTTAGGCTATACTGAGGATGACCTGTCCTGCCACTGATTAGGACTACCTTATGGGTACTGTGAAACAAACAACATAGACCGTGCAGTTGGTGAGATGTTTGGAGAGGTGAGATAACCAGCTCTTTGAAGACCTGCAATGTAAAATATCAACAGGGGTCACATATCCAGAAACTTGACTATTAGGTCCTTGACAAACAGCAGTGAAAGAACAAGCCGTGGTATCTGAAATGCATTACCCTCCAAATGAAGTTGAGACTGATCCCAGAATAACAGACCTATTTATATGAAGAGAAATGAACTAGACTGAATGCTGTATAACACAGCCATGAATCAGGAAGCCCAAGTCTTCAAGCACAAGTGCTTATAGCATTGTGCTTATAAACTGTGAGATACAGACATTCATCTCAAAATCTAATGGTACTTTGGTTTTATCTTTCTGAATCAAATAAAGGCTTTTGTGTTTTCCCTTTTGTCCCAGACTCAACACAGGCTTATTACATGATTTGGCCACAACCATGTTTTGCAATGCTAAATCTGTTTGTTCTTGAACAAAGTGCAAAATGTGACATTGCATACCTAATCTTCTCTTGAATATGTTACCTTTGGATATGCTGCCCTTCATCTGATTTTTTTCAGGCAAGTTCTGTGTGATTATAAAGGAATTGTTTTTGAGATTATTAGGTCTACAACTTCTAATACATTCGTATTTAAAACACAAACCTCTTGAATTTTCCACCTTTATTACTACACTATTTCCAAGAAAACAACCTTGTCAAATGGAAGCATGATATAAAGGGAGCTTTTATATTTGCATGGAAATTGATAGCAAAGTCTACAAGGTTTCTCCTTGAATTCAAGTATGCAAGTTTAATAGAATTAAACAAAATACCCTAAAGATGACAGAAAATCATGATACTTGAGAAAGGTTTAAAAATTAGTTTCCTCCTCTTTACCTTGATCTGGGGCAGAATTTTTAAAGCATATTTAACTTATGGGTTAGGTTGACTTTTCATAAACTCAGTTATTACTCAGTATCCTTTCTTTACATAGATTTGTCTATTACAATTCATGGCACGTGCTGTCTCTTTGGGACTTTACAGAAAAACTGTACAGTCATTTATCTTTGTTATTTTCTGCAGGATTTGGAATGAGGAATCGTATTAGCTCAGCAGATTTAAAAATAATAACAGTTCTAAAACACCCAGCAAGAGCTGTTAATTGTACTAATATGTGCTAAAGATAAACCAGGCATTATTTTCATGGATTCCAGTCTCTCAGCAAACTGAACAAGATACTGTGGCTCTTGCATCCGTTTCATTTTTACTTCATGAGTATAACAAAAAAAAAGGAGTAATTCAGTTAAATTATATTCTAATCAAAGTACCACCTTTGATTCTCCTAATTAAATAAGCTGAGCATAATTTCTTTCTCATATGCTTTTGAAAAATCTTTACCTTTAACTTTACACTCCTATTTTTAAAAAATAATATCCAGTTGTGTGTACATATGCACAAAATAGAAGAATATAAATCTTGAACCTTTGTGTAGATCTCAACGACATGCCAAATACTGTAGTTGTTCGGTTAGATATTTCTATAAAAGGAAGGCCAAGATCTGTTAACAATGTAATAAGCATTTTTGTCTGCCTATTATTATTTGCACAACTACTGTGACTGCTTGGAGAAATCTGTGTTTGGCTGAGTATCTAGTCGTTATCTTGCACGATGACCTGATTTTAAGGTATATTTTGGCACACAGCAAATTCATATTTTCTTCTCCCATTTGCCTCATCTTTGAAAATGACACACCTTATGACAGTGTAAGGAAATACAGAAAAAGTACCTTTCCCTGAAAGAAGAACAGGTTCATCTTAAAGTAATTTTTGGTCTGGAAACTAAAGTCTATTAAGGAAGGTGATAATTGAGACATTCATTTACAATCCTTCAATCCATATTACATTTTGAAGAATAAAAATTAGAGATTAAACTTAAACATCCTGTATTTCTTATCAATATGATTTTATGTAGGTTTTAGAGAAAACTTTTATTTTCTTATTACACGTGAAAAAGTTTTGTTAGTCAGAGCCAGGTAAAATTTCCAAATATATGGAAATATTTAGATCTATTCAACTCTGCACGTGTGACTTTGGCAGAATGAATAGTAAAATGGAATAGAAGTTAACTGCAAAAAAAAAAAAAATTGACTTGCATCAAATATGACTTCTAATATTTAAAAAAAAAAAATATACCAAACTTTTTCTGCATTGTTATCAGAAAAAAGACCACCTCAGAATTTTTAAATTAAATACGATGTTTCCTCCCTATACTGGTACTTACTAAAGCCATAGAACAAGATACTGGTTAACATGGAATTCATCTGGATTCTGTAGGGTATCCTCTCATATTACAGCTATAACAACAACAAGGGAACAATAATACTTGTAGGCAAGATCCACGCTCTTGGCAAATTATTCCACATTCTTGGTTGATTCTGGATTTATTCCCAGTTTGAGATTACAATGAGGAAATGGCTGAGTTCTTCTGGTACAGGAATTTGGGCTGAACTTCCCATGAGTGTCTTACCTACATGAAATATTACATTTAAACTAACACATACAGAAGTTTAAATATAAAACTTTTTTTTCCTTGTAATTCTTCTGCATTCTGCAGTTACATTAGGGTCCCCTTCATCACTTTATTATTTTTCTTCTCTGTGGTCACTGTTAAGCAGTAGTAAACACTAGTTGGGTGATAGGAGGTACTGATATTCCAACTGAAAGAAGGAGTGATGATGTATGGGAAGCACTAAAGGAGATGCATTTGGCCCTCTACTTCTATTGTTCTAAGAGAACTTCAATAACTACTATAATAATGATTACTAAATACAGCAGCGTTCTCTGGGGCAGAATCTATCAGTGTCCTTATAAATGTATTTAAGTACTAAGACACTGGAATTTCTAACATGGTAAAGCTCATCACATGCTTGAGTATTTTGTTACAGAAGGCTTCACCTATTACATAATGTACAAGAAGCAAAATCATATACCTGCAACTCCACGCCAACTGGTCATCATATGACCAGGTAAAAGGAAGGCCATGGTTGTGTGGTTAGTAAAGCATTCATAGAACTGAGTCTGAGGGACATGTCTTTAACATAATGTAGCATTGAAAGCACACAGTGCCTGTTGTTATTTTAGCATTTCAGTAATTGCTCTTCATAACTTCATACTGCTAGGTAGTTGAGCATGTATTATTATTCACTTTTCAGGACAGAAGGCTGGGATGAAATTTAAGAAATTCATGTGACTTATCAAGAGAACCAAAACAAGCCAGGGATGCAGCTGTGAAGGAGATGTGAACTCCCACCTCCTAGGCTTCTGCTACTAGGCAATGTTTATTGTGATACTGGGTATCAATTTTATGATGCATTTATTTACAACTTACAATTACGTATACTGTAATCATGTGAAAGGCTACACTGTGCATACAGACTGTCAGCCTGACCAGGTGGTCTTGTAACTCTGTTACCACTCTGCACCTATTGTTCCTGTTTGCTTCTGACGATATACCTTACATTAATATAGTCTCTCAGTGTCAGACACCGTCTTTTACACACAGCACAGATTTTCCAGGCTGAATGTTGCCAAAATCAGTCTTGGCATGCCTGGTTAAAACAGTGATTTCAACAATATCTGCATTTTCCCTTGCTGAACAGTGTTACCATGCTCCAGGAGCTATGTTCTGGGGCCACTTTGGTCCAACAGTATCAGTCTCTTTAAACATTTATTTAATTAATCTCATCTTTTCTGACCTAAGAGCCACTCACCACTGAACCAGCAAGTCTTTTGCTGCATCCAAAATAATACTCAGACCTTCAAATGCAAAGCTTTAAGATCCTTTCCACCAGTTCTATACAGTGGAAAAAGGTGTGATCACTGGAAGATGATGAATTCCCTGATCTATTTAGCAGGCAGTAGGGTAAAAGGAAGAACTAAAAACTGGCCTCTGACACCAAAAGCTCTTCTAACTACCCATTTCCATCCATGGTCTTATTTGTTTGACAGTAACTTATTGAAGAAAAATAAAAAGGTCTTATGATTTTGTCATATAGGGGCATTTGGGATTTTGTGTGTTATATTACTGAAGATCTCTGGACTACACCATAGAGAAAATGGGATAGCCCAAACTTGTAGAGAAATGTATATGTAAGTTATAAATAGGTTGTAAGTTCTGAGAAAGAACAGACATAAACGGTGAAAGAAACATGGGTGTAGACTATTTAGCCCCCAACTCCCTATTAAAATTGTCAAACTTCCATTAAGAAATCAAGCAAAACAAAGCAATGATAGAAAGGAAGAAAGAGGCAAAAACAGTTAAGGCTTTTGCTTTTAAATTTCACTGCAATTCAGATTTGATGACTTGGCACTGCTGTGCAAAGTAGCATTTTTCAGTCTTATTTCTTCTTGCAGAGTTACATCATCACCTCAGAGCAGTCTTAAAGGACACTGAGGATGCTGTATCGCAGCTGGAACTGAACAGAGATGATACTTCAGGAAGGACTGACCATCAGGTCACTATAAAAGGAAAATGCATTTTTAGTTTTACACAAAGAAAGCTTTTCTTTCCTTCAGATTCCTCTCCTCTTTCCCTTGCTGTGTACTAGCACATACCAGGCACATGTACCCTTACGCTTGCACACAAAAGCAGATCCAAGAAATACACTTTGATGCCAACCTACCATTCTGATGCCATTCTCAAAGGCCTGACGTGCTAGAGATGCAGGTCCATCCACAGTCTTACCGTCGTCATCAGGCCCCCAGCTGGCACTGTAGATGTGGATATGCTGGGGATTAAGGCTTAGAGACTTTGCTTCTACCATGTCTGTCACATCTCCATCCAGCATCCGTACACCTTCAGAATGAAAGATACAATGAACAGGACCAACCAACTCAAAATACTTATTTGGTTTGTTTTTAATTCCCTAGGGAAAACTGGTAAGACATCGGACTGAATGATCACAGGAATTTAAACTGCTGTTTTAAAAAAAACAAAACCTCTTTGGGTATGAGCTTTTCCAATAAAAAAAGTCTCTAGTTCAAAAAATACAAAAAGGAAGCAATATTTTGGTGTTTGAGTTTTAAAAAAATCTATGAGTCATTTATCCACTATACAGCCTTTGAACTCCAGCAACAAAGTTTCATGCTAGAGAAAACTTAAAAAAGTGCTTGAGCCTTGAAATGCTTGTGTGTCTCACTTGAAGATAATATATGATTTTCTTTTTCCTTTTATACAGCAGTGAAACTGCAGCACTTACTTTGAGTCATTCATAGTCCTTTATATGTTGACAGATGTAATAAAAGGATTACTCTATCCCAAAGAAGAAACTGGGAAAGAACTCATGTGTACAGACTGATTACCATATCCAGTAGCAAGATAATTAGAGGAAGTTACTAACAACTACCCTATACGTAACATTATTCAACCTGAATCTATATTCTGAACATCCTCCTCTGTGTAGAAGTTTTTGTAAGGTATAATTTGAAATTCTTGTGTTAAAAGAATCCATTCATGTGGGTTTGGACAAGTCAATGTGCCAGCCCTTCTAAAGTTTTAAGATCACTAGATTGAATAGGTGCTGTTAAATCTGGAAACAAAATAAAACTTGAAGTTGTTTCTTTTGACTAACTGTAAGATTTTGACTGAAGTTAATTCTGACTGAGAAAAACACCAATGCCAGCTTTAATCTAAATAAGAAAAAGAAACTACATATAACTAACATAAAATTTTATCAAAGGGGTGTTAAACATTAAATCATAATTAGCATGTAACTGTATGATAGTACAGAGGATGATTGATTCCACAAATAACAAGTTTGATGCTTTTTCCGTTTTAAGAGGCCACTGCTATTTATCAGCCAAATTTACATATTTTTAATTACAGACACATTTTGCTCATGAGCTCAGACTGAAGTAACTTGAATGTTTACCACGGCCTTAACTTCCAATTAACAAAAGGCAGAGGGAGATTTTTGTGGATAGAAGGTCCTTTTTTTTCTTACTCTAATTGACTCGAAAATGAAAAGTGATCGTATTTCTACATTCATACAAAAGCTGACCATGTTTTGCGAGATAATAAACTTTTACAAACAGTGATCTCACTACGAGCTTGACTTTATAAAAGGGACATTAAACCAGCTCTGGGGTTCTCTAATTTTATTCTTCTTTCTCAGCATAATCTCAGAAAATTAATCATGGGTGGAAGTTGTGTTCCCAATTTCTTTCAAGTACACTAAAATATATCTACTTCTGAATAAAGACAATAAAATGTACACTGTTTTTGAAAGAAGGAAAATAAAGCATTGCTGTAGGTCTCTGTTATTGTGTAGCAAGCCTAAATAACAGTACATGCACCTGGTAAACAGTAACTCCAAATTCTGCCACAGGCCCCTGAAGTAATTCACACCAAGTGTTTTTTGCTAATAGTGAAGTGGTCAAAACCAAAGCAACATGGAAAAGGCTGTGACTCAGGTGTTGCTCTCTGTGGCCAACAACTGATAGATACGCTTACAGGGTGACTTGAAAAACAGACATCTCACTGGCTATTCAAAACAAAAATAATCCCTTCCCTTCCCCTCACCCTCCTCTCCCTTCCCTCCCCTTCCCTCTTTCCTGCCTTCCTTGTCTTGCCTGTCTGCCCTCCTTTCTTCTTGTCTTCCTTGCCCACCTGCCTGCCTGCCTTTTCATTTATTTCCCAGATATCGAGAATAGTTAATTCTGCCAATCACAAAATCCCCAAACTGCATTTGGCATGTGGTGGTAGTGCAAAAAAAAGCTGTCCAGAAGGCAGTTAACAGACTGAACGTGCAGATTGTTCCACCGAAGACTTTAAAGCCCTGTAAATTTTTTTCCAACATTTGAGGCAATTGCCAAAATGTAAGTGGCATTTTGGTCAGAACAAACTTGCAATGGATTACAGGAAACACGCAGAACTGACCTGAAAGCAAGTTTTCTTTTAAAATGTTTGTTTTTAATCAGCATCTGACTTAAACAGCTGAACTAATTCCTTGTCAGCTGAAGACAATCTACATCTGTTGTGCCATAATTCAGTGTAACTGTTTTCCTGTCAGGACTTGAGCCCAGCCAAGTAACTAAACTCTCAAATCGCTGCAGATGCCTTGCAACTTCCACAATCAGTTTGCAACAATAACACCACACTGATAATCCTGTCCTATAAAAGGTCTCACAACCTCTCTAGGTGGTTATTTGCTATGTGTAATTACTGCAGAGTCACATTAAGAAAACGAGCTACCCCTCTGATGCACTAGTTTGTCTTTCAGTGAAAGGGCCAGTAGCTCAGCTAAGCACAAACTGCAGGCACACAGTGTGTTTTTTAAGAAACATGTCATAACATGTAAAAGACTGAAGGTCCAGACTGAAATTTTACTCAGATTCTCTTATCTGCAGATTACATCTCCATTTACACTGTTGTAAGGGAAGACTCAGACTTTCTAAGAATATTAGTTCTGACTTATTTGAGGTCAGAGGCTCTTAATGTGTGGAAATGAGACAAGAAGTGCAAACACATGTAGAAAAAAGTGAGCATTACTGGTGGCTATCCTTGTTAACAACTTGCCATCACAAAGATCAGATTTGTTCAGCTGCCACTATTTGTCAGAATATCAATGGAAATTATTTATTTTCTGCTTTGCTTTATCTCCTTAATATACATGTCCAGAGATGCTTTTTGGTTTCAAGTAAGGAATACTTATTGTGGTGGAGCAAATTCAACATCATTCTTGGCAGGTGCTCTTCTATGCAAGGAGAATGTAATTGCTTTACCTCTACTCTAGTTTCTTCTCCAAGAAGGCCTCAGGAGGGTCTTTAAATCCCTGGGAAACAAGCAACCTGAACACTAGTTCAGCATAGTATGATTCAATGTTTTTATACTCTATCTGGACTGTGGAGAGGGAACACAATCACTGCGTATTCACATATGTAGCTTATGGCTTTTCTGAGGGGAGGGAGGCATACTGAACAGAGGTCAGCAGCAGCAAAATTCTCAAAGGTATATAGCTAGTGGAAAAGGAACCTTAACCTCCCTTCCCAATACTCTGGAATTCTCTTGCCTCTGACTTTCTACAGATTATCTGCTGAGCCTCCTGAAGTCTTATTTTCAAGTGCTGATGCTTTTAAAGTACAGCACATTACCTCCATGTAATGTGCCACCTTTTCAGCTTTAAGAACAGTGTTAGCGATGGCTCTGTAGAATCTTGGTGACAAATGTAGCAGATAAAATTTTTATTTCACTGAGATCGTTGAAATTTCTTGAAGACTGTTATATTCTCCATGCAAAATAAATAAATAAATGAATAAATAAATAAATAAAGGCATACATATCCAGTCTTTTTTGTTCACATTAACTACGTTCATATTATGTCTATCTGAATCAGTTTTTACACTGTACTTAGAAAAGGCTGTGATTCAGCTAATATGCCTGAAGGGTTTCTAAAACATTATTTCTGCACATTCCTAATGCTTAATAAGCATTTTAAGAAGCCACTGTTACTAATGAAAAACTTTTCAAGGACATGCCCAAGCTGTTGCAGGTTGTGTGACTTCTAACTCATAACTGAAACTTTACCAGAAGCTTTTATCTCTACTAGTGCACTAACTCTCCTCTGACTCTCATTTGCCAACACATAAGATCTGATAATGCTGGTACATGACCAAATGCCATGTCCACATGGGACAGCCTGTTTATCTGCCACAAACTCAACTCACCTGGCCCGTTCTAATTTTCTAAACCACTCTGACAGGGCAACTTTGTGCAGGCAGGCTCTTCACCTGAAGGGAAATTGTTTTTCTGCATCACTCTAACCTTACATTGGATCAGGTATTGTCTATCCTCTTGAAGCCAGCAGGAAAACAGAAAGCTGACATTAGGATGATGTTGTGTGCTTTGGCTAATTTGAAATGCAGCTGTGCTCACATTTGATATGGATTAAACTTTTACTGATTCAGTAAAGAACAGATACAGTACTATTAACTGGGGAAACATAGCCTCAACTCTGCCTGCTCGTATTTCTGAACTATCCTCTGCTGTATCTAAACATGTTTCTGTTTTCACAGATGGGCTCTATTTTGGGAAAGAAAATCAACAATTAATGAGCTTGAGCTAGGTCTTTCTACTGAAAGCCAATACACTAATCCCATGATTTCATCAAAAGTTCAGGGTAAAACTTCACTTGAAGCATTTAAGATCTGGTACAGGCAGGCTACAGCCCAGGAGATAAAACAGATGACATCTTGATAGTCATCTCCACAAATTAAGTCAAAGGTCTTAACTGAGTAGCCACTGACTAAGAATTCACAGAAACAACGTAACCTCTTGGCCGGAGTAAAATAATGTGCAACTGAATCCTGTATTCCAGGCAATAATCCAATCACACAGAGAGATCAAAAGAAGATTCTCTCCAATAACAGCTAAACACAAGCACGCGTTATTTTGGGCTCAATATGCAAGGCAATATTCCTGATGTGTACACTTACTTTTGGTTTGTCAAAGTTCACCATGTATAGCTCTGAATTTGTGAAAAACCCCAAATGTCCTTATTCTGGGGTCTGTGTTTTCACCAAAGGTCTCACCTTTTTTTATGTGTGTACTGAGAGTCAGTGTTCCAGGGAGCACTGGAGAAGTGTCACTGCAGACAAGCTCCTTCAGTACTGATATTTAATGGTCACTCTACAACTGAGATTTACTTGCTAACCCAGCTAGGTTTGTTATTAATGCAAATCTCCTTCTCTTGTTAGAAAGGTCTGAATGTACCATTTAGCACAAATGGCTCATTACCTACTTTTTTTTTTTTTGTGGGATATTGTCTCACATACCTCCAATCTTGGCATTAAAGGCGATTCCTACTGTGCAGTGTGAGTTGTTTGCTGTGGCTGCCACCTCTCCAGCGCAACGGGTTCCATGCCTGCAGTCAGACAAACATTTTTCCAAGTAAGCACAGATCACTGAAGTTAAAGGTTTTGCCCTTGCTCATCCTTAGGTGCAAATGCACAACTACCCACAGTGTCTTGCAATACTTAATTCCTCATAGTAATTTGCACCCATGCTACAATACTCCTCTGAACACATTTTAACATTATCACAATCATTAAGTTCTGCATGGTAGGCGTTTTACTGACTGGAAATGTGCACAGTTTGCAACAAAGACATGCAATAATACATAATCCACAGCAATATAAAGAACTCTTGGATACTAGTTTCTGATTTTGAACCAAATCTTCCATTACAGACAGAATTTTTGTCCTGCATTGTCTCACAACTGTTCATGTTGCTGGTATGTAGGTGTCCATACAACCTCTAGGAGGCACAGCCTATACCACTCTTTTCCAAGGGGAAGATGACTGCACTGCTGTCTAGAGGCAAGCCTTAAAACTACCTATATGCCAGGTATGCTCAAAGCTTCTGTATAGGCACATTCTTGTCATGCCTTGTGCCAACTGTGAAAGCCTGCTGCCTTTCCAGAAGCAACAAAAAACAGAAGTACCTCCCACATCAGAGGTATACCCTGTGTCTGGAAGCAGAGCTGGGCTGTAAGAGTATAAATGTAAGCTGCTGAAGCAAAACACAAAACTTCCAGTGTTTGTCCAGCCACAGTGGGATGCCTTGCCTAGCCCTGAACCATGCTCTCTACAAGGGTGACAGCAGTCACCCATAGAGCCACCATGGCTACAGCAGGAAAGCTGTTGTGAATTTGCCTGCAGTATAGGTTTCACAGGGTGTTTTCTACCAGTAAGTTTCACCCTCATCCTTGCAGTTAAGCAGCTCCCTTGCAGAAATGCGACACAAGCAAGAAGTAGAGCTAGTGAGCTGCTGTGAAGAGGAGACACAGAGTTTCAGATGAGACAGGAAAAGAGATGGGGAGTTGATGAGACAGAGATAGAAAGATAATGTAAGGCATGGGTAGCCACAAAGAAAGAAGTTTAAAAAGTCAACGCATAAAATAGATAACAACATGGCAAGAACTTCAGAGGAGGCTAAGTGAAGTCAGCTATGTTGCTGGTGGTTGACAGACTGCTTACACAGACATCTGGAAAACACACGTGTTTTTTGCATTAAAGTTGACGCCCATTATTACAGACAAGAATCACAGTTGCTTCCTCTTGGTACAGCTTGTTTTGGGTAGAGTCACTTCTTACTTCCTTATTATTAGTGCAACTTTTTTCCCTTAACCTTTTAAGACACTTAGATAAGAAACACTAGGATAACTTGTTTTGAATGGATTAATGTAAAACAAGGACAAATAGGACTAGAAAAAAAATAGTAAGAGAGGAAACAAAAAAACCCCACCAATAACCAATATAATTAGCAATACCAACAGCCAATATAATTAGCAATGCTAAGCAGTTAGAATTTCAAAGGAGACCATTCAGTTTATCAGATAAGTAAGATATATATAATCCGTGAGAAAAGTGTAATACTTATTCAGAAAATCAAAGCGACAAGTTGGATACGGATAAATCCTAAAGCTGGATCAAGGTTTCACAACTATATATGTATCTCATTTGGTTGCCAAACTTAATCAGATAATTTTTCAGTACTGAATTTGAAGTTTATATTGCATACGAAGCCTTATTTTCAAGCCTTTTCTTCATTTGAAGAATGCCTATTTAACTCTTAATTGATAAACCAATATTTTATCCTATTACAGAATTATTTTGAAAAGTAGATAATCCAGGAATCAGAGAAGCAAAAAAGTTTTAAAAATATACTTCTTAATTTTCAAGGATTTTCAAACAGCGTTATAGTTCTGTGTTTGTTTGAAGTAGTGTCTTTTTAAAATGTATGAATATTTATAGGAAAATGCCTGTCTTAAGAAATATTTACAGGACTCATGATTTACAAACTTCCCTTGTCATTATGATTTTATCAGGAGGCTGCATGAAGATGAATGGAAGAAACAGCTCAAATTTTTCTATGGTTCCCAGTGGAGTATACGGATAGCTGCTACTTTGTTAGCTACATCCATGCTGCACCATCAAAAGGGTTGTATTTCCTCCAGATCACCAAACCCATGTCACCCCAGCACCATGTAATGTTTGTAGAGGAAAAACAGAGGGAATGTGTGGTGGACCTGGGAGGTGACTGCACCTCCCAGCAGTAATCCACAGTAACACAGGATTACTAGCAACATGAAACTAAATTTCATCTGAAGTAGAAGTAACTACAGTCGTAACTTCACTTAAGAACCAGCCAAGCCTTTAAAGGACTGTTATGGTAGCATGCAAGTATAAGAAGTGGCATGACACATACTTGCTGAATTAAAGCACAGTAAGAAATTTCATGTAAATTTCTCACAGAAAAAAAAGGCATATTCCAGAGAGAATTAGATCTTCAGACAGTTTTACAGCACACAAGTTAAATCAACTTTGGTGAAGATTTCACTAGTACTCACATACCAGAAAATACTTTTCATCATATTGAAAGTCCAGTAATGATATAATTCTACTTAGTAAGCAGATTTTTATGTTAGGATCTTGCTTCTCTGCCAAGATTATCGTTAACTGCATTCTACATTTATAATGAGAGTGACAAATATAAGTCGGTTTATTCATTTCAAGGTCATATGTATAAAATTGCACTTACAACCAGTTTCCCACTGTGTGAATTAATCATATATGCAACTGAACTTGTTTTAATCAGTTATCTTTTACAGTTCCTTTAAGTAATATTTCAACTACAATGTAAAAATGAAGATTTCTAAAAGTCTGCACATAAAAATTACGTTGTTTCCACATTGCTTTTAATTTTCCCTAGTCTAGATTTTTGCTTGAGGTCTACTGTTTGGAACAGACTGAATTCTGCAGTTAAAATCAGAAAGGCCTTCAGATTAATCATTACATTAATTTGTTAACTAACTTGATGAACAAATATGATGCAACTGATGCTGGAAATTCATCAAGTGTTCTTTAAATCTATGAAAACTTCTACTCAGCATGAAATCCTGAAAACTTCAAACAGTTTATGAAGGCAGCATAAGCAGCAACAAGAGGTGAAACGAGGTGTTTCTGAGGTAGCATTTTTTCTGAATGTATATCAAAACATAACTATGTCCTGTCTTTGTGGATGCTTGCATCACATAGAACTTGCTTAAAAAGTTGATGCAGTTCTAGAACAGAGCATGACTGCCATTCTACAAAGGCCTCTCTTGAACTTTAAGGGTCGATGCTTCATTTCACTATAGCCTTTGCCAGCTCATGTTGAAAGGAAGTTCCCAAGCTAGTAAATGACACCTTGAAGGAACACTGCTAAAAGGTTTTGCACTTCTCCTTTGTGTTAATGTCAGGGTGATGAAGTAACACAGAATAGAAACATGAAAGAAAGCTTGGTTATGAGACATTCTGTCAATCTATACATGGGTTTCCCTTCTGCAGTCTAACAGAAAGAAAAGGAATGGAAAGAAAAAAACTCTTTTTTGTCGTCGTTTGTCTCATAAGGAGCAAAATGAAAAATTGCCATTCAAAGATACGTTCAGGCTCCAGAGGCCATCAGGTAAAAGAAGTAAGATGGTCACAGGATTATCAGCCTAGCTTTAACTGCTTTAGCTATTTTGCCTTTCAAGTAAGTACAATTTTTTCAGAAAAGTATTTGTTTTAGCTTTTGTATATGAGAGGGACAGAATACAAAGAGCAAGGAAAATATGTAGGCAATTAAGATAAATTTTATTTTCTTTTTATAAGGAGGAAATCCACAGTCTGTCATTAAGACAGCAAGGTATTGATTCGGAGAAAACTCCAGGAACAAACTTGCCAACAAAGTTTTCAAGCTGACAAGCAGGTATTCTTTATTTGTCTCAGTATCAAAGAATTACACAGGAAAACCCTAGTAAAGATAATATTTTTGCCTTATGATGCCCTCACTATTATGCAGAGAACTTGGAATACACTGTTGAAGAAATACACTTCTATGAAAAGATGTACGTTACTTTTTCCTGTGGCATGCATGAACAGTGCTTAAGCACCTGGATGCTAAAGGTATGTACTTTGATAGCTCTCTAAGTAAAAAATAAAATACAAGAGCTGCACACTCGTCTGTTACGCACAGTAACTTTTTTCAGTACCACTTCTTTCTGAGACAGAAATGATTCAGTATTTCAGGCAATGATGGCAAGAAAAAAGGTGCATATGATTACCTATCACTCCCTATCCCACCAGCATAATTGAAATGCAAGAAATGTATCTTTCAATATTTACTCTTAATTTGCCTTTCAGAAGAAGAGGAAGGTATAAGGCATCAGAAACATATTTAAAACAAAAGTTAATTAAGCTTGACTCTGAAGATTGAGGGTAAGGAAATATTCAGAGTTAGAAAAGACAGCTGCTGGTAAATTGAAAAGCCCCTGCCATGTAAATTGCTTCTGCATTTCAGAGCCTTTCTAACAGCTATTCTTTGAATTCCACAAACACTCTGGCCATGCATTTCTTTGCTGCATTTTACTCTTCTGGAGTTCATCAACTATTTCAGAACACAAAAAGCTCGGGGAACCAGAGGATTTAAAGCCCTCCAGCTTTTCATGACACAAACACTATAGTCCAGCCCACTTCAACCTGTCACCAATAAGTCTTTTCAGGATGCTACTCTGAAAGTCTTTTCTTCTTACGTATTTCAATGCAAGCCTATCACAAACATCTCTGGACATACCAGTAACTTACTGAGAGCTACTCAGTGGAGGAATTATTTTGCAAACAAATGAAGAAAACAGTGGGGGTTTTGGGAGTGTGTTTTTTGCTTTGGGGTTGTTTCTTTTTTTCTTTTAATCCAGGGAAGTGTCTATAGAAAAGGAGAAAACTTCACATCCTTGCAAATTCTATGCTGCACATACTGTAAGAGTGAATATTAAATAACTGTAAAAAGGTTAGGATAATGAGTCTGAAAGTTTACATAAGACAATATATATTTTAATAGGTT